ATCCACTTGCACATTGACAGCTGTATGAACCCCCTCCCAAGTTATAGCATGTTCCACCATTCTGACATGGGGAATTGTTACATGGATTGGTGGTTACAACTACAAAAGGAATATTTTGTTCAATATTATTACTCAATCAAAGAAAGCTTAGAAAGAACTCCCGTGTGCTGAGAGTATTGAAGACGCATTAAAAAATAATTAAAAATTACTTGTACATGAGATATTGATGGAAAAGCTGAAAACTAATTATGTAAATCAGGTAACTAATATGAACAGAACAGAACAAAAAAATTATGAATTATTATGCTGATTAGAGAATTAATATGAACAAATTTTAACCCAAAATTAATCAGGCCTGTATATTGTCCTAGAGCATTTATGTACCAAATTTTATTCAAATGTGATGATCAATAATAGAGATATCAGTTTTAATTAATTATGTTAATTAGGTGTTTAATAAGCATAAATATTTACCAAAAACTAATTGGGTTTCTGCATAGTTCTCTTTAAAAGTTTCATTAAAATCCAATTCATGGTTCTTTATATATCAGTTGAACATTATGCAAATTAAGTAATTATTATCCAATTAAAACTAATCAGGTGTCTGCATAATCCTAGAAGATCTATGTAGCAAGTCTCATTGAAATATGATGATTACTACTTGATATATCTAAAGCTGAAAATTAGATAATTATGCAAATTAGGTAATTAATATGTACTGATATTACCCTAAAAACTATCGGGTCTGTGCAGTGTCCTATGACATCTATGTACCAAGTGACATTGCAATGTGATGATTACTACTTAAAATATCAAAAGCTGAAAATTAATTAATTATGCAAATTAGGTAATTAATATATACTGATATTACCCTAAAACCTATCAGGTCTGTGCAGTGTCCTATGACATCCATGTACCAAATTGCATTGAAATGTGATGATTACTACTTGAAATATCAAAAGCTGAAAATTAATTAATTATGCAAATTAGGTAATTAATATGTACTCATATTACCCTAAAAACTATCAGGTTTGTGCAGTGTCCTATGACATCTATGTACCAAGTTTTATTGAAATGTGATGTTTAGTACTTGAGATATCAGTGGAAATACAGGTATATGGATTCAAGATTACAAAATTGTACATTCATGTCTATATACTTACATGTTTGACACTGATTACCAGTCCATCCACTTGCACATTGACAGCTGTATGAACCCGATCCTAAGTTATAGCATGTTCCACCATTCTGACATGGGAAATTGTCACATGGATTGGTAGCTACAATTACAAAATGAATATTATTTTTCAACATTATTACTAACAAAATACATACATTTACATATATATGATGTGTTAATAAAATGGTACTACATCGATTCAGGATTACAAAAATGTACAATTCATGCATGTCGTTCGAACTGTTCAAAAAACATAGTATCTTGCCTATCGATTACAGAATTTCATATTTTCTAGGTATCGTAATGTATATGGCAACCAATGGCTTGGCGCCTTTATATATAAGTGAAATGTTCAGTCCTATCTCCCAAACCCACAAGTATAGTACACGTTCCTCTCTTAAAAATAATTTACGCATTACTAAATGGAAAACATCCATGGGTCAGAGGACGTTTCAGTATAGAGGGGTAACCCTATGGAATAACTTGCCATTCCATATCAGAAATTCAGCCTCTTTAGGCATTTTTAAGAAAACCTACAAAATTTATCTGAGTGAAAAATTTGTTGTAAATGGCTCAAGCCTATAATATGTATATTGTATTTTTTGTCCCTACAGAGGGCCCAATGAAAATTACTTTATTGTATATTGGCCTACCCTCTTTAAATAAAGTGTTAAATAAATAAATAAAACTTGCATGTTTGACACTGATTACCAGTCCATCCACTTGCACATTGACAACTGTATGAACCCGATCCTAAGTTATAGCATGTTCCACCATTCTGACATGGGGAATTGTTACATGGATTGGTGGTTACAACTACAAAAGGAATATTTTGTTCAATATTATTACTAACAAAATACATACATTTACATATATATGATGTGTTAATAAAATGGTACTACATCGATTCAGGATTACAAAAATGTACAATTCATGCATGTCTATACTTACATGTTTGACACTGATTACCAGTCCATCCACTTGCACATTGACAACTGTATGAACCCGATCCTAGGTTATAGCATGTTCCACCATTCTGACATGGGGAATTGTTACATGGATTGGTGGTTACAACTACAAAAGGAATATTTTGTTCAACATTATTACTAACAAAATACATACATTTACATATATATGACGTGTTAATAAAATGGTACTAAATTGATTCAGGATTACAAAAATGTACAATTCATGCATGTCTATACTTACATGTTTGACACTGATTACCAGTCCATCCACTTGCACATTGACAACTGTATGAACCCGATCCTAAGTTATAGCATGTTCCACCATTCTGACATGGGAAATTATCACATGGATTGGTAGCTACAACCACAAAATGAATATTATTGTTCAACATTATTACTAACAAAATACATACATTTACATATATATATGACGTGTTAATAAAATGGTACTACATCGATTCAGGATTACAAAAATGTACAATTCATGCATGTCTATACTTACATGTTTGACACTGATTACCAGTCCATCCACTTGCACATTGACAACTGTATGAACCCGATCCCAAGTTATAGCATGTTCCACCATTCTGACATGGGGAATTGTTACATGGATTGGTGGTTACAACTATGAAAAGAATATTGATTGAATCAATTTTATTACCCAAAAGAGAAGAAGCATTTTGCAATTCACAGCCCCTGTTGCATAGTTAATGTTAAAGACAAATGTATGCGTATAAAATTCTGTTTGTTATAAAATGAGTAGTTTTGGTGTGTGAATTAGAATAAAATAGAAAAGTGAAAATCTTGTGGTGTTTTTCACTATGGAAAATATACGTGTTAGGCATGAGACAATGAATGATAACACATGTATAGCAAAAAAAAACAAATGCCAACAGCATAGCACAGATTATTAGTATAAAGATTCCTGTTTGTAATCATTGCGACTCATAAAATGACCAATTCACATACTTTATTTGTGTTCAATTTCAAAACTATGCACATTTAAGGTTAATTTAGCTCCTTGTCCTGTGCATAGTAAACATTTTTTACATTGCTATTTTATAGTTCCAAGAATGATGATATGATGATGCAGTACTTGAGTGACGTGGTTGCCGGATTGAGTCAATCATCTTGAGTAGACTTTACAAATCAAAAGTGACATACATCAACCTCCAGGAATGGTTACTCCTTTCACCAATTTTAGGAATTGGATAACATATGCCCAAGATCTGGTTCCAGACATTTTTTAACAACAAATATTGTCAGCAGTCTGAAGCATTTGGGTGGATGACAAAATTTTTTAAAACTAGCGCCGAAGGCGCATATTAGTTTTTATGTTTATATAAGAGATTGCATACTTACCTTTGGTTAATGAAATTTTAATTTCATAAACAAATGGGGAT